CAAAATATTCAAGATTGCGTAGGCGAAGACGACGTAGGTAATAACAAAGTAAAGATATAAAAATATAATAAACCTTTTAATTTAATTAATCAAAAAGTTTATACGATGTAATTTAAAATATAGGTACATGCCGATGATATATTATGTACTTTTAATATAGACATTTAGAGCGATCGTAGGCGGTGTCGAGTTTCGATACGACAGTATCTGCCTACATGCCATTCAACTTAAATAGCGTAACCTTCTGTGGGAAGCTGTTACGTTGATACAAAGTCATGCTTAGATAAGGTTAATATACTAGTACTTTATAGAAAGGTCGCCGCGAAATGTTTTTGTTTTTCTTGATTTTATTTAAATAAATCGGTCATTATACGGATTTTTTGTTTTATTTTAGCACGATTATGTTAGATTATTGTGATTTTTTTAATTGTTTTTATAATATATCGAAAAAGCTTAAGCACAAAATTATTAAAAAAAACTATATTTTCGGATTTTTTCGCGAATTTATTTTGATTTTTGGTTCCTGACGTTTCGCATGCTTTACAGCAATCATGGATAGTTTTATTTAAAATGTCAAATATTCGCGTAAATCTAAGAAAGTATTACACAAAATTATTATTCGAGTTTTGTAAGTCCGTTAAAAATGGAACTCCGATATAGAATCACAATCACTTGCGCATTTATCGTATAATATGAAAGAATAATTGTACGCTGTCGAATTATCCGAATTATGGCTAGGGTTGTTTCACATTGATCATCAATTTGATCGATTGCAATCGAATCTCTTTTTTCAATGAATATACCTACATAAACATTGAAAAAATATATAAAAAATAATAAAATATATATGTTTGTTTGTAAACCAATTAACACGTTATACGTATATAATTAAGGGAATATATACATAATAATATACTAGTAATCTAGCGATATTTTTAAAGAAAAGCAAAAGCTAGACATAAAACAAAATACTAAGAATTGCCGTGTATATAGCAGTCTCTTTCCCCACATACATAGGCTTTGGTTTTCTCGTTACATTTTAATGGAATTAGCTCGTAACCAACGATGCGTATTGGGTTAGTTAACAGTTTAACACCTTTCTTTATTATTTTTTTTCATTTCTAGGCAAACTTTTAAAATATTTAGTTGTTAGAGATGATTGTACAAGGTGGGAATTTAAAAAAAAATTTTCTTTAAACATTCTTATACCTTTATCTCGTGTGCATGTGGTCTCTTCTGTCTTGGAGTTAAGCAGTTACTGAATTAATGTGATATTATTAATTAATTATTATATAAAAACACTTTAGGGGCTTAGTTTCAAACAGTAAATTATTATAAAAATCAATTTGATTGGTATTTTAGTTGATATTCATGTAAATGATTAAAAATTCAGACTGACTTCAAAATCACTTTAAAAGTATTTCTTCACCCTTAGAGATGGAATTTTATCTGAAGATGTATTTTCATAAATATGTATGTTGTTTAAAGATACATTATTATTGTATATTCATTAAAGAATAAATTTTAATTGTTTTTTGGGTATCGATCGGCACAGGCATTGCTTGGCGAAAGTAACTACACATAAAGAAACTTTAGGGTTAGGGACTCTTCGAAATCGGTTGATAAAACCACTAAAAATATAAATAATTACATCCCAAGCTTAAAAGTAATTTACAAAATAAAAATATTTCACCGACTTATTCTGCCCCATCTGAACAAAGAAGAATTAGTGGAAATGGGGCTTTATTGTTCTATACTTATTAAGTACTATTAAAGGAGCATTTAAACCTTTTTGTATTGTTTTATATTTTTAAATTGTAAATCAAGTTTTATTTAGAATAATTGTTAAAGATTTTAATATAAAACAAGCAACTTACTCTGGCTTTGATCAAGTAACTTAGACATGATATGAAACATGAGCGTCTCGTATTGTATAATATGTAGGTAGTATCGAATTGTTTATATTATATACAGTTATTATTATAGTAATAGCTGACATAAATTTTTGATATGAAACATCTATTGACGCGCCTTGGTAGTAGAACCGACTAGTGGTGTGACGGAAACGGTGGCGTGACGCTGTCATGCCATCATGCCCTTTCTATACCACCGCTCTTGACTCCCTTGTGTGTGAACGGGTGTATACTATTCACGCTCCATTGTAAAATAGTCTCTATTAGAAATACTACGTATTTTATATTCTATTTATGAATATAATATATATTCTGTAATTATTACTATAATTACAATATTACGAAAAATAAATTGATTTTATGAACGAAACCATTTTTACTGCATATTTCGTTATAGATTTTTATTATAATCATAAATTCTAATATTAACATAGATGTTTCACATCTGCCGGGCGTATCTGTTAAATTTTGAATTAGTATTTAGCTATTAATTTTTAATTCTCAAAATGTACCTATTTTGTTATAATTATTCTTACTATAAATCAAGTATTATTCAACTTAAAAGAATTAACTAAATATTTTCTTATAACTTACTGCAAGAACTTTCATTTTACTCTGTCGTTATAAAATGGACGAATAAAGCAAAATGTGATATAAATCGGAACAAAGAAAAAATAGTACAGCAGTAATATAGTCGTTTATAAAAAGAGCTCTAAAACCAGACACTATTTTCTAAATCTTCAGATTTATATTTTGAACATTTGAGATACTTAGGTCGTAAGACGTTATTTGGCAAATGTGGACGCCAGCAGTCTGTCGGAGTCCGGACGTGATCTCTTTATAAAAGCATAATCTAGATGCTGAGGTCGAGTCGAGACCCGAATGTGACATATTTTTCCACTCATAATAGATGTAGTGATGTAAATAATGTTTTATCGATATTCTTTATTATATTGTTTGTTGTTTTTGCCGACTTCAGAGAAGGAGTAGTAAACGTTGGATGCGTTTTATTTATTGTGTATTACGCTATATCTTCACCAATTGTTTTTAATTATTCTTTTTATTTTTATTTTAACGATATAATAAAGGGGTAAAATATGTAAATTTTAAATGAACTTTTGGTGTATTTTTGAAAAAATAAATTCTGACATTTGTATAATAAATGTCAGAATAGAAATAACTTATATATTATTATACTGTATTAACACATAGGTAACTTATACTTTTCAATAAATAATATTAGAATTTTATGTAGTTTTACTGAATATTATTTATTACATAAATTATTATGAAGAACAATTAAAATTCTAAATAGAGAATTGGTATACATTTACCTACTGGTAAAATGTAGGCTACCTAGTATTGTGTAGAGTCATTAGCCGTGAGTTTTTCTTGATTGCTCTGCTTCCAACTATAAAAGACACATAAAAAATATGCGCGTCGTTCCTTTTTTTTAAAGTCGGTCAACAAAATCTGCAAAAATTATCAAAACTGATCATAATATTTTTTCCATTTCATTTATTTCTTTGTTTTAAAGACGTATATAGGTAAACGTAAGATTTTTTTTAACACGATATTTACTAAATGCAAAGGTACGATAACGCTTATATTTAAATTTTTCTTTCTGTATAAATATATACCGTAAGTAAAAATCAATTATGAATGTGGTTAGAATCAATAGAATTATTTAGTATTGAAGCTTTAGGTGCCTTAGTAATTATAGTGACTACTGTAATAGTCTGTCTAGCAACTGCTGTGGAATCCATAGTTTTATTTCAATTTTTAATGAGACGAATATAAAATATACGTATATTTTACTACATTCCGTCACGAATACAATTAGGTGTTAAAAACTAAGTATAGGTTTATTGATTATATAAACGCTTATTTTGACTAACATTAAATTACTTTATGAGATCTGAATATAGAGGCATCTAACTTATGGCCTATTTACTCTTATAATAAGTAATTAATATGATTAATATTTACCGTGTCTCCTTTATTCAAAGGGATGTTAACTATGTGTTAAATTAGGTAGACTTAATCATCATCATACATTAAAGATAACAAACTAAAATAATGTTAATTTAATTACGTAGAATATAGAATGTTTCAATTTCCAGGTCTAATATTCATTCATAAATAAATGTGAAGTTTCTCATATGTAACGACCTAAAAAGTAGGTATTTTGAGCTAAAACAAAAATACCTGGTATGAGAGTGGATTGTTTTAACACAGAAACAATATCAGCTAGAATTACACATTTTCGCAGTTTATCGTTTGAAATCCTTAATATTTTAGGATCTTAATGCATATTAGGACAAAACTGATTAAATTAAGTTACGGCATATTAATTCATATAATTTCTTAAGATGTGTCTAAATTTTATGAATTCAAATTTCATTCTTTTTTATTTAATTAAACATTAGAGTTGACTTAAAATCAGAGTGTAACAATTTTTATTGAACGTCATTAGTCTATCACTAGTTCGGAAAAAAACCTTAAGAAGAAGAACTGTTGAAAGAATCAGCGAGACAACAAAGTTTTTTTACACAAAATTCATATTTATTTATTAACGTTGAAATATTCTGGATGTACTCCTATCATACCCGAGCTGTTTAATCGATGTTTCTAACCCCACAATACAGCGCTAGGACGATTAAGTCATTGCTATATTGTGCAATACGCCAATACGGCTGAGTTTTAGACTTTATAAAATTTATTTAAAATAATCTTTTCATTCGTTTTTGTTATTTAAAATGTGAAATTCGTTCTCAATTTTTCCTCAACTGTCTCCAATTGTGCAAAAATATTTAAATTGGTCATACTATAAGTGTTATTACATTGTGAAACCATGACCTATATCTGTGACCAATCTTTTTCTCCATTTGCAATGTGTTTTACTTTATTGGATATGAAGTGGATAGTTAAATTAATATTTTAAACGGATGACTTTAATAATAACGGACGAACTTGCTTAGTTATAATATTTACGTACATATATATAGAATAGCCGAAATGGGGGTATAGATAATAAAAAATATTTTTTTTAAATATCAAGTGTAATGATTGTATGGTCTATGGCAGTTTTGGTGGTGTGCTCCGTGCAGGGCTTGCAGCTAGAGAGCCAGGCGTCAACGCGGAAGCCCAGGGTTACCAAGTATAGCAAAACAACTGTTATGCCTGGAGCATCCACGGTTAGTAAGTTTTAGATGATAAAAATATAATCAAACAAGTATTATTAACAAGCTTTTGCCGTAGCTTATGTAGTATTATTGTATATAAATATATCTCCTAAGTGTTGTAGCGTGATAATAGATGGATAGCACATTAAAATGAATAAAATAATGATTTCTAAGGGTTAATAATGAATGATTATAATAACAAGATTGATTTTTATTTGACCTTGTTGTTTTTTCCGTAATTTTATTGCCATTGCATTTTTCAAATAATGTTTTTTAAAAATTAAATATGTTTCGGAAAATTTTCATTTTACAATATTTTTTGACCCATTGCCCAAAGTATTTTATAAACCTTGGAATCTTATTGTGGTTTTTGTGTAGTGCTTAGATAAAGATATCTTATTTTTATGTTAACGAAAATGTCATAAAGAAAAGACAAGTTATATATACTTAAATGAAATTCTATTCGTAACTATTTAATAAAAAAAGATACAAATACAATACAACTTTTTATAATTTCTAACGAAATTCTGGTTCTGTGTTTGCTTTGCTTAAAAGAAATGTTTACAATATAATAAACTATTAAAATATTATTTAAACCTTAGAGCTACTTGTGTAAAATTCTTAACGTCTAAAATATTTTATGTCATTAAATCCTAGGGTTTCTTAACTATTTTAATACATTACGTTCATTTGAGTAATCCATTGCATTAACACCTAAATTATGTCACGAGTATTACATACTATTTTATAGATTGTGTGACATAAACCAGCCATCTTTTTAAAAAGATCATCCAAAAATCTAGAATTAAATGTTCGTTTTCATATTTTTTGACATAATATATGTAGATTCATTATTGCACGGTGTAATAATAGCCCATTTAAGTCACTGACAAGTGTTACTTAAGAGCGGGTTTACTTGCATTATGCTGTAAAATATATTTAAATCAAATTAAGATTCGGTGTGGCCATAATACTTGTATGTATGCTATATTAGGTCATTAATTAACATTCTAGGAGCCAGCGACCGAACGTAGTCTTATGACGGCAACATATCGTCTCTATGGAAGTGGAGGAGAAACTTGTATACTTTTGACCGTTGACGCCTTACTCGATATCTCCTATGTCACTAAACTTAACGAACGCGCTGTAAGTAGATCCCAATTAATTCAGTAAATTGTTAAACAACTGATTGTGCCTATTATAACAAATGTTTGTGTGCATATGTATGATTAATATTCCTTTATAATTAAACGGCTGGATGGATTTATACAAAATAGTCTATATCTGGAATAATACATGAGCTGCTGTTAGTAATGAATCTTGTTAAAAAGTGGCACCGCCTACGGATGGACACGTGATTGTTGACCTTACTGTAGAGGAGTTAAATAAAAAAATCTATAACTTTAAATATTGCGTTAGTTCTGATTGTGTGTAAAATTCAATTTAACTTTTTTGATTGCCCCTAACGCCCAACGGTTTTATGGACTTTGGTAAAACTTTTAACACTGTGCAGTTTGCTGTTGCTAATCTATAAATTTGTCTAACTTTGGCAAAGTTTGTCTTTTATTTGGAGGTCCCTTGGTTGAAGTAATTAAGGTTTCAAGATATAATCTTCAAAGTGATCCGGATTCAAAACTGAACTTAGGTTAGGAAATTAAAGATGATCCAAATATGAATCATGACCCAAATAATTTAATATTATTTGTTACTTTTATGGATTACTTATATAGAATGAATTATATAGATATTTTATTACAAATTTACGTATACTAGTACGAATCTCTCTTAATTTCCAATTAAAGATCAAAGCCCTTTACAGTATAATAATGAAAATATTATTATTTTGCAGGATGCCAACACTTTTGTTCCAAACAACGCAAACGTAGCTGGAGCATGTAGAGAGAGTGATTTGGAAACATTGGTTCTGTCATTTAAGGAGTTTTCCCTAGAGTGGACATTTGATAAGGTATGTTACATCAATGTAATAGCATTTCTTACTTCCCTAAAGGCGTGCATCATATATTTGTGTAACATTTTATTTAAGCACAAGGTAAGATTCTCTCTGAAAAACTCGCAGAATTAACTTATTACTAACAATTTAGTTTTTTTTTATGAAAGTATATGAATATAGACCACAGTTTTTACGGACGGAAAAGTAATTAGAGCGGTAACTGTTAACATGTTCTTCGAGACATGCCGACTTCTGAATTTTGGGCTGCTACTAATAATTTGCACCCGTACATTCTAGCCACTAGACTAGAGAGTAATGAGGTCCTCAGGCGACACGATTAAATAGACAATCAGATGAACATTTTATGAGCTATTGATGTGTTTTCAATACAGTAAATTCACTAGAGAATGACTGGACTGATTTGTCTATTTTTTATAAATGTCCGCAACGGTCCCAGTAATAATTTTAGGGTAAGAATAGAGATAAACTTAAATTCAAAAATCACAAGAATTACTATTAAAATTTGAATAGGATGGTACCACGCTACTGTCACACTAATGTGATTAACATAATCGAGAGTTATGTAGTACTTACCAGTTATTCTTAACAATTTAGACTTTAATCATCTGTTAATCTAAATAAGCAAATTTTAGCAAAATATATAAATCCAATGTTTATGGCGATTTGTTGAACAGTGGAGGAATTAATGTATTTAAGCATATAAAGTAATTGTAAAAGGTGTACGTAACAATATGTATATAATATAATGAATTGAATAGAATACATAAATATATATATATATATATATATATATATATATATTAAATTTTAAATTTTAATAAGCTACTTTAATTTCCAGACACCAGGAGGAGAGCGTTGGTATGCAGATAATATAAGACTAACATACAATTCAAGTGCAAGGATCCTTGAACATGCAGCCAAGCAGGGCAGGCGAGTCTCTCTTACCACTGGGCCTAGAGCACTTTTGTTCCCCACACCAGTTGGAAAATCATTTTCGTGTCCCGAGGAAACTGTGATTGATTTAGCTGAAGAAGAACCTAGGTGAGTTACAGCTACAGTATTTTTGAATTATATTGGTATAATTACATACATACAGACATACTACAAGTAACTGTAATACAATATAAGTTTTAATTACAATAATATGATTATCGAAATCACGAAATTCCTATACCTTATAATAATTACTCGATTATTTGAAATTTTATTCGAAATGAGAGCGTAAGCCACCACCCTAGCCTACTGTTTCGAGTAAGTGCAATTTCTATTGGGTTCAACTCCCTCACTTTCTTTGCTTTTCATCAAATATAAGACACTAACTTTATCAAACAGGCATTGAATCTGGGACTTTGAGCAGTAATGGGCCTAATTAGTAAATAATAATATTGTCTATAAATATTACGTTTTTATTATGTGAAACAGTATATTTATCATGATTTTACTTTATTTTTTGATGTTAACCGATGACCAAACATATTGGGGTTAAAAATATATTAAATATGCCGTTTCACACTCCAAAATTATCTTAAAACTAAAAAAACTTATATCGCATATAATTTTCTTCTAGCAACCCAACGCTCGCACACCGCGCGAAATTATACCTTCGTCAAATGCGTTTACAAGCTTTCATGTTTAAGCGTGATGGTGAATTCGGTCCGCCTTGGCACTGTACTGATTCAGCTCGTGCGCGGTCCGAAACTGCCCCAGTAGCAGTTGGGGCAGCTTTGGCCATAGCCACCGCGGGGACGTTAGTCGGTTACGCGATTTGGCGCTATTTGAAAGTGAAAAAAGTACAATACGACACGATGGAATGAAGGGGTTAAGCGTTCTGAACTTTGAATATTTTTTTTGGTAAATTTGTTATTTTTTGTTTATGTTAGGTTTTTGGATGTATAGATAATTTTTGTTGTAATTATTAATAATAGTTTGTTATATTTTGCTATAATTCATAATTGCTACGATTTAATCATCGAGCTATTTGTTTGCAATGTTTAATATGATGCAACGGAGTAAATAGACTTTAAAGCTTTTATAAATTAATTAGTAGGCTTAAAAATTATTTTAAATCGATTCTATTATATTGTATTTTAGTCTTATTAATATTATTATAAAATATTTAAAATTATTAAAATTTGATTTCAATCAAAGTTCAGAACGGAACTGCCCCGTGGCGGTCGGGGTAGATTTAACTTTAGCTACCGCAATTACTTCAGCCAATATAACTGGCGAATTAAAAAATATGAATTGATGATGAGTCTAAAATGTTCTGAAATTTTAAAATTATAAGAAAAATGTTACTATCATGTCAGGTTTTTTTAATTTAAATAATATCTACATATTGACGAAGTAAGTTTAATAATTTTAAACTTATTTATTTACAGTACTTCAATAAATTATATTATTTATTTCGTTGATTGCAATCGAAAAAAAAAAAACGTTTTATGGCAATTATAATTTTCAAAGTTCAGAATAGATAAAAGCATACTTATCTATTCAATAAAATAAAATGCCAATTAATATAAAATAAAAAAAAATCATTGCGCAGTAGTCCCACGACGTTGTTGAATATAAATTTCACAACATTTTAAAATTATATTAAAGGATAAAGGACAATATGTGAGTTTGGACGCAATTATGCTAAAATGTAATAACACAAAATTAATTAAAATAAATACCAACAAAAATTATAAATAGATAACTTTCAATAAAATATTAGAGTTTTGACAGAACGCAATGTAAACTATAGACATGACATAAAATTAATTTTGAGTTAGCACATTTTGGCATTAGATGATAATTATATACTTACATGACTTTAGATAACTTGCTGTCCGATATTCGTTAGATAGAAAGTATGAAAATAAATACTGAAATATTAGAAAGATATTACAAAAAAAATCAAGGCGAGTTATATAAAGCTGTTATTTAAAGGTGAAAGCGATGTGCCCGTATCGATAGTGTTGAATCGATTAGATGTTAGTATTGTTATGATAGTGTTTGAAAATGTATATACGCTGAAAGATATATCTTTGTGAGGATAATCTTTTCGAAATTATAAAAAGAACATGTTAAAACATAAATTATATGAGATATTCATTGTGAAAATGAACCGATTCTACGTTTGAATTGAAAACGTAATTGTTTACATAAATATGTTGTTGAAGGTTGATATGTAAAAAAAGTATTTATTCCCCATTATATTCCCAAATAATCCCGTAGGCTAGTCTGTGTGTTAAAAGTTCGTATTCACTGGTAAATGAATGGAAGTATGGAGATGGAAAATATGTATTGTTTTCCATACATCATGTAGGTACACACGCAAGTTTAGTGTCGTTATCTAATCATAACATATCAGACGATAATAAAATCTAATTTATTGACAATTATTTATACGTATAGTTTATATGTAATTATATGGAAATATATAAATATAATTTATTTTAAAATTGTTTGCGGTATAGCGGACATTATGAAGATATTACGTGTACAAGCAATAAGTACTTTTTTATTCGTCGCCGTCGTTACGACGTTTATGGCAGATTCGATGTTGTATGTGTGCGCAAAACTTGGTACGACTAGTGTTTTATTATCGCACATTTTAATATAAGTCTTATGCTTAAACGATTATTTATATAATTATAGATATTAATAGCTTATAAATACATATAATAAACAGTTTTAATAATCTTCCGTGTAACTAAAATCTCGTAGAATTACTTGCTTTTGGTACTTTCTATGAGTTTACAAGGCTTTATGAGAGAGAATATTGAATTAACTTTTAAATCTATTTATGTATATATTGACAATTTCCATTTATATTTCTGATATTTATAGGTGTATTACAATATTTTATAGTATTTCCATAGGCTAAGTTTAATTTATAAGATAATAATACATTATTATGGTTCTAATGAAAATATATCAATCTACCTCTCCTAACTTCCACTTTTATTTTAAATTTTACTCCGCATACTCCTTACTTCAGAATAAGTAAATTTAAGATTTTCGAGAGTATATGTATAATATTACTTTTATTGTATAAAAGACACTAGTTTCCAAGTTTTGCTAGTTAAGATGCGCTGTGTGTTAATGCTTTCAAGTCAAGTCTTTCTATTTGTTTGAAATATATCTTATACTCATCAATTACTATTACATATCGTTTCTAAGTAATTAATAAGTTATATATGTGACATGCGTTTTGTGATCATCGTTTTACGATAGATAAGTCTATATCTTTTTAGGTAAGATTTAGATTAAGTTGTAGTCCAGTTGTTAGAGTAGGAGCTCTGACAGATAAGATAAAAGGATGCTTAATCGATAACAAACCATAACTAATCGATTATAATGCACAACATTGAAAATCGATATTCTTCATAAATATTAAATACTCTAAAACATAAACCGTGTTTTTGAATAAAAGTTCTATTCTCAACTGTCAGATTTCTTCCTTTTAATAACAATTTATATAGTCCTTCACCTCCTTACTTGCTTCTGCTGTATATAAAGGCTAAGTTTTTGCCGAGCGATAAAATATTTCAAGTATTTTTTACATATGTGTACTTGAATTTTTCGAAACGTTTATATATGTATCTACATTAAATGCTTTTTTCATCTAATGTTAATATTTCTTGTTAAATCGTGCCACCTTACGAATTTTCCAATATGTCTTGCACTATTGTTTCAAATTTCTCGTTCTTAAAATGTAAATGTAATTCGTTTTTAGAAATCTAAATATTTCTGAAAAATTTTCTACTAGATGATATAAAATTCTATTTTCCTAATATTTTGTATTTGACTCCCGTAGTTTTTTTCCTCAATAGTTTGGTAGCGTTACGTACATATCGGTGCATTTATATTAAAAATAATGTTGTACTAAAATATTGTATGCCATACGATTTGTCTTCCAGTAACATTGATCTTGTAACAATAGCGTAAAGTATTGTAGCTTATTATTATATACATAAATATGGTCATAGAGAAAAAGTGGTGACGTTGCGGTATATGTGATGTTTTGTTACTAAAATTAAAATTTAATTTCTAAATGCGATATCTAATATCGAAGGCAATACAAAGTGCTTAACTTCTAAACAAAACACCAATCTTAATTGATATTAAATTTTAGTAGCTGACAACGTAACGTCCACCACTGAATAATATTTAAGTGACATATCTCAAATTATTGTAATTTAGTGCGTTCATTTATTGAAATTGTCTTTATGAATAAATGACGTCAAAATGATATTTATTTTTATTTAATAAAATATTTTCTCTATTTAATTTAAATATTTTTTTTACTAATTACTTTTTTCATAAAAAAATATTCAACATAATATGTTTGAATGTGCAATCTTGCGCGTATCTTTTATTGTATTTATTTTTGTTTAAATAAATATGAAAGGAAAGTCTGGTGAAAGGATGAGAATTTTTGACAAACTATCTTATAATAATATTGGAAACCACTAAGAAAGATTTTAATCAATTCTTTAATAAGACAATGTAGTTTGAGTGTTGAATAAAAAAAAGCCGAACTAAGTTGGACAGGCCGCTAGTTTAATATACTTATAAGTATAAACGTTTTAATCAATAATAAATAATATCGACAATCTAAGCAATGTACAACACTATATACGATAAAATACAATAATTCTTTATTAGATGGTGTTAATAGTATAAAATATTACGCAGGTGAAGCAAAAGTAATTTATTTATTTTGATTTCGTATCGGTAATAGGTATAATCTATTTTTTTCACTAATAGTCTAGATAACAAAAGTGACGAAAATAAAGAAAATAAATATCTTGTTATATAATAATAATCTTTTTAACAAAATGGTATGAGTAGTCCCATTTTTAACCGACTTCCGATAAGGAGGAGGTTCTCAATTCGCCGGAACTTTTGTTTTTTATGTATGTTAACCGATTACTCGAAGACGCCTGAACCGATTTGGAAATATACTTTTTTGTTTCGAAGGGTATACTTCCCAGGTGGTCCCATTTAAATTTTATCGAAATCGGTCGTGCGGTTTTTTTTAAAAAATCAACAAATATTTTTCTTTTTAAGAAATTGTTTAATCGAATATGTTATTAAAAAACTCATCTTACAAATTACCTGCTTATTACGTCTACACTAAAAATTGAAAAATTAAAACTTAAAAAAATAAATAAAAACCGACTTCCAGGCACTAAAATGTAAAAATAAACTAAATGGGGGGTTTCTTCTAGAATAGATACCTAATCAGATACTTTCGAAGTCGGCGCCAGCCAATGCAAAGCAAATCTAATAAATTTCGATACCTAAAATACATCACAAATTGATGTTTAATATTTTAACTATACTTAGAATCCATACCAAATCATATTTACCTATTAGATATTTATATCTTAAAATATTGTCGGCTGGCACCGACTGAGAAAATATCTGATTAGGTACCTATCTATTCTAAATGAAAACACCCGTTTAGTAATTTTTTACATTTTAGTGCCTGGAAGTCGGTTTTTTTTTAAGTTTTTTGGCAAATAGCAGTAATAGTGATCCAAAATCATATAGGTCTACTATGTATTATGTACAATTTAGTTTAAAATATCATTATTCATATTAGTAATAATAAAAAAGACGGATAGTACTTATAAGGCTGAATAACAAATTCCATTGTCACGAGATTTGCCATTTGACACTTAATTTATATAGATAATCTGTGCTGTGCACATTGTTACCCCGTCCCTAGTTGTTACTGTACACACCCTTATTTTCCGCTAATTTAATTGGCTCCCTGGGGATGATTTCGCTATTTTATTACCTTAGTAATTCTTTT